AATATTAAAACAAACATTTTAATATTTAAACCCGATTAAACTTTGTCACTGAAAATAGTATACAGTCCCATCATAGCCCATAATATAGTGACTTGCACAGTTGTTGTTAGGGGTTGGCAAGTGAAGTCTGTTTCCGAGCAATCCTATGTACAGCAGAATGCCACACTGCCCGGTCTTCTACCTGAACATGCACAGAGTAGGTGCTTAATAAATGCTTCTGGGTGAATTCGTAAATAAAAATTTAGGTGATTTTATATTGTTTTATGAACTGTGTTCATTCCGTGTTAGACTTTCTAAGCTAAATGTTAACATTAAAAAAAAAAAAAAGATATTTGTTCTGTACTTTTGCTTAGTGAGATCCATATCATTCAGGGCCAAGTCAAGAAAATTATTGAAATACTCTGCTAATGTTGTTGTTGTTGTTAAATGCCATCGAGTCGGTTAGAGTTCAATTCAAATCAAAAGTAAGAAAAGATTGGTATTTTTTAATTTTTTTTAATTTTAAAAGACCAAAATGGAGGTCAGAAGAGACTCTGAAACTTGCTCTCCAGCATAGAGATGCTAAAGCAAATGGAAGAAGTGAGGAGGTACAAGAGCTGAACAGAAAGTATCAAAGGCAAGCTCAAGAAGACCAAGTCAAATATTATAACTAAATGTGCAAAGACCTGAAGTTAGAAAAGCAGCAGGGAAGAACGTGCTCAGCATTTCTCAAGTTGAAGGAACTGAAGAAAAAATTCAAGCCTGGACTTCCAGTATTCCAGTATTCTCTGGTTAAATTATTGAGTGATGCAGAAGGCATCAAACGCAGATGGAAAGAATACACAAAGTCACTGTACCAAAAGGAAATGGTCAATGTTCAAGATATAGCATAGGATGAAGAGCCAGTGATCCTGAAGGAAGAAGTCCAAGGTGCATTGAAGGCATTGGCAAAGAACAAGGCACCAGGAATTGATGGAATAAAAATTGAAATCTTTCAAAAAATTGAAGCAGCACTGGAGGCACTCACTCATCTCTGCCAAGAAATTTGAAAACAGCTACCTGGCAAATTGATTGGAAGAGATCCATGTTTGTGCACATTCCAAAGAGAGGTGAACAACAGAATGTGGAAATCATCGGACAATATCATTGATATCCCATGTGAGTAGTGTTTTACCAAAGATAATACAGAAACAGCTACAACCATACATTGACAGAGAACTTCCAGAGGTTCAAGCTGGATTCAGAAGAGGCCGTGAAACGAGAGATATCATTGCTGATGTCCGATGGATTGTGGCTGAAAGCAGAGAGAACACCAGAAAGATGTTTACCTGTGCTTTACCAACTGCACAAATGCTTTCGATTATGTGGATCATGACAAGCTATGGACAACATTGCGGAGTATGCATATTCCAGAACGCTTAATTGTGCTCTTGAAAAACCTGTACATAGACCAAGAGGCAGATGTTTGAATCAATTAAGGGAACACCAAATGGTTTAAAATTAGGAAAGGTGTGCACCAGGGTTGTATTCTTTCACCATACTTATTTAATCTGTATGCTGATCAAATAATCCAAGAAGCTGGGTTATACGAAGAAAAACATGGCATTGGACTGGAGGAAGACTCATTAGCAACCTGTGATATGCAGGTGATACACCCTTGCTTCCTGAAAGCAAAAATGACTTAAAATAGTGACTGATGATGATCAAAGACCACAGCATTTGAAATGGATTGCAGCTAATATAAAGAAAACAAAAATCCTCACCACTGTACCTATAAACAACATCCATATAAATGAAAAAAAAAACTTGAAGTTGTCAAAGACTTCATTTTGCTTGGATCAACCATCAATACTCATGAAAGCAGCAGACAAGAAATCAAATGATGTATTGCATTAGGAAAATCTGTTGCACAAGACCTTTTTTAAAATATTGAAGAGCAAAGATGTCAGTTTGAGGACTAAGGTGTCCCTGACCCAATCCATGGTATTTTCAATGACCTCATATGCATGCAAACATTGGACAGTGAATAAGGAAGACCGAAGATTAATTGGTGCATTTGAGTTATGGTACTGGAGGAAACTATTGAAAGTACCATGGACTGACAAAAGAACAAATAGATCTATTTGGAAAAGTACAGCCAGAGTAGCCCTTGGAAGCCAGCATGGCCAGACTTCGTCTCTTATACTTTGGGCATGTTGTCAGGAGGGACCAGTCACTGGAGAAGGATATCATGTTTAGTAAGGTGGAGAGTCGGAAAAAAAGAGGAAGACCCCCAACGAGATAGACTGGCACAGTGGAAGCATCAGTGGGCTCAAACATGGCAACAATTGTGAGGTTGGCCCTGGTCTGGCAGTGTTTTGTTCTATTGTGCAAAGGATCATTATGAGTTAGTACAGACTCGGTGGCACCTAACAACAACATTTTAAAAATATTTATTAGGTTATTTCATGATAATAAGTATTTCAATCATTTGATTATTTTCAACAATACATTTCAAATAGATTTACTAAGGAAAAAGTTAAAAATTCAATGCTGAACATTCTACTAACAATTATAAGGAAATTTTACTAAAAATATTCTCTACTCACTCATTTGCTATATAGTAGTTTAATATGAGTCATTGGAATTTTAATGTATGGACACAAATTATTTGATAATCCTTTCTTCTAAAAGCCTACTCTGCTTTCTCCTTGAGAGAAGGTTGAATTTCACTTCTAAAGAATAGAATGTGGAAGAAATGATAAAGGGTGACCAGATCACGAAAGACATTGTGGTGTTCTCGCTGCACTTTCTGTAGTATCATTTGCTAAGGGAAGATCTCAGCTGCCATGTTATAGAAACACTCAAGGAGCACTATGGAACAAAGCATTGGCCTTTCTAACACAATTGTTGTTGTTACTATGTGCCGTGGAGTCGGTTCTGACTCACAGCGACCCTGTACAGGGTTTCCAAGGCTGTACATCTTCATGGGAGCAGAAAGCCTCATATTTCTCCTGTGGAACAGCTGGTAGTTTCGAACTGCTGACTTGAGGTTCACAGCCCGACTCGTAACCTATACGCTACCAGAGCTCCTTTTCTAACACAATAGCCAGTAAGAAATGCTGGCCTTCTTTCTGTATCTATCTGTAAAATGAGATGTCATGGGTCTTCCAGCTCAGGTTAAACCTGGTCAAGTCTAAAGAGACTGCTGTCCAAATTGAAACTCAACTGAAACTTCATGAGAGACCCTAAACCAGAAGCACCCAGTTAAGCTACTTGAAAATTCCTAAACTACAGAAGATATGGGAAAAGAAATGGCTTCTTTGTTGTTGTTGTTGTTGTTAGGTGCCATTGAGTCAGAACCGACTCATAGCGACCCCATGCACAGCAAAAGGAAACAATGTCCGATCCTGGGCCAAGCTCACTACTGCTGCCACACTTGAGTCCATCAATGCTGCCACCTGGCCAATCCATCTCGTTGGGGGTCTTTCTCTTTTTCTCTGACCCTCCATCTTACCAAGCATGATATCCTTCTCTAGAGACTCTTCCCTTCTGACAATATGTCCAAAGTATGAGAGATGAAGTTTAGCCATCCTGGCCTCAAAGGAGCTTTCTGGCTGCTGTAAGATAAACGCTGAATTGGTACCGCTGGCTGTTCAAACCCACCAACCCTTCCTCAAAAATCCTATATAGGGTTGCCTAAGTGTCGGAAGAGACTCCAAGGCACTTAATAGCATCAGTAATTTGGTATTGCTGTTGTTTTTAAGTGCCATGAAGTCGGTTCCGATGTTTAGCGACCCTGCATAGGGTTTTTGCGGAGCGGATTGTGAGTTTGAACCACCAACCTTGCTATTCAAACCGACCTTGTGGTGGAGTGCTTATCCTACAGTGCCACAGAAGACTTTAGTTCTCGAGTAATATTGGATACACTTAAGAAATCCATCACATTTGCCCAAGCTCCATAACAACCCAATTCGGTTTAAAAATGTAAAGCTGCTCAAAACTAAGTTGCGTATCACTTTAAAGTTCCCTTTTGGAAGACCTAGAATAGTACGTCAGGGTTCTTTTGAAAGCCCTAAGAATCCTGGTCTCTCTGGGGTTAGAAAGAACACAGAAGGAACTCATGGAAGGCTTTGTCAGATCTAGAAGGAGCGACTCTGCCCCAAGAGCCGCTGATGACGCTGATGAAAACAGGTAGTGGGGGCTCTCTACAGAGTTGCTCTTAATTTTTCAACTAATGATTCCTATTTTGAACGGTATCACTGGAGTTTAAATACTGCGAATGATTTAGATGCACCAGAAGAAAGTACCACAGAAAACTATCTGTAGTTGTTTTGTGACCGTAAAAAAGCAAGCACCTTAATTTCTAAATCTCATAGTGCAGTTTGTATTCATTTATTTATGTTCGTTCTCCTGAGACGTTCACTTCAATTCCCACGTCCAAAGCCTTTGCGTTCATTGGCTCGATGACATTTCTTCAAAGTTTATACAAAACCCTAAGTGCAGGAGACAATTCGTGGAAAGTAACATCCCCAACTCTAGCCTGTAATAGCTCCCTTGGAGCAGGTACCAGCCCAGTGAGGAGACAAAAGATTTAGCTCTGGGGCGTAGGTGTGGTGCAGGAAATGTCTGACCGAGATCTCAGCAAGTCAGCTCCACCATGCGTTATCCGAGTCCCCAAATAACACTATATTTAAAAAAATGCAGTCTGTACTTCCTACCCCAGTTCTCTTTCGGGTATCTCTTCAAACTGCGTTCCATTAATCTCGCAATCCTTCTCCCATTTCTTCCCTAAAGGTGAAACAATTTCAGGGGTTAGCACGGGGTTCCCGTTACGTTTCCATAACAACCGTGACTCAAATGGTCACCGGAAAAGGCAATGGTCACGTGTTCCCACTACTTCCGGGTTTAAACAGTGTCTTCCGGTTGTCAGGAAATCCCAGACGCTGCAGCGACTGAGAAAGGAAAACTGCGCGGCCTGAGGTCGCGGTGGCCCTAGTGGTGGTGGGCCCAGGGTGGGCTCGCCTCCTCCAGCCCCGTCTGCGATGCATCCGCGACGCCCGGACGGATTCGATGGTTTGGGCTACCGGGGTGGCTCCCGGGATGATCAGGGCTTCGGCGGCGGAGCTTTCCCTGCAAGGTCCTTCAGCTACGCGTCCGACTTAAGTCACTGGGTGACCACTCCCCCAGACATCCCGGGCAGCCGCAACCTGCATTGGGGCGAGAAGAGCCCCCCTTATGGCGTGCCGGCCTCCTCCACCCCAGTCGAGGGGCCCGCAGAGGAACCGTTTCCCAGCGGCGGCGGTGGTAGTGTACCCGGGCATAACAGCGGTGAGGGCTGTGGGGATCCGGCCAGGGGTGGTAGGGTGGCAGCGCCGCGATTCGCGGCTGAAGACCCCGGAAGCCGCGCAGAGGGTCCCGCCTCTAGTCCTTTCTCAGCCTATCACGGGCCACACCCTCTGTCCTCCTTTCGTCCTCTGCCCCAGAAGCTGGCCTCCTTGCTCACACCTTCTGCTCTAACCAGAGGTGGCGTGGTCAGAATTGAAAGAAATTGGGTTATCAGCCATTTCTTGGTAATCGTGTGAGCAATACCGAATACAATTTGATAGCTGCATTCCATTTATTTATTATTTCCTATTTTGGAAAGCACGAAGAGACATCCATTGAATAACAGGCTTGGGTTCAAACCTGCTTGCCACTTCTTAACCTCTGTGAGTGGTCAAATTTCTCTTTCGATGTTAGAAAAATAACTCGAGGTTTTTTTTTTTTTGTTTTTTTTTTTGAGTTCTTTATAATTGCTGATAAAATATAGGGCATATACTAGGCTAATGCATAATCAATTCCTTTCTTTTTTAATTACAGGAATTGTTATGCCTGTTTTTTTCTGGATTCCCAAGCTGCACCTTTATTTTCCTTTTTTTCTTTCTGACC